GAAATATATAAATATACAACAGCTACAGTTTTACAGTGCTAACTTTCAAAGTAACATGATAACAATTTAGCTTGAGTAGTGATGCTAAGGAAGAAAACTTTTAAAAGATCAGTGCTTTCATAATCAATTATAATTATTCTCATCAATTATATATGTGTGTGTGTGTGTGTGTGTGTGTGTATACACACACTTTTTAAAATTTTTTTTTCTTGTTGTGCAGTTGTGTACTGACAAATTGGATTCAGCTGGCACAGAAGGAGATTGCCCCCTCCTTTTCTAGCCGAGCAGCTGGTGGATTCAAACCATGCACCTTTGGGATTGCAGCGCAACTTCTTGCCACGAGGACACCAGAGTTCCCTTTCATCAATCATATATTAAGGAAGCATTCAGGTATATGAACAAAGACAATAGAGAATAGAACATAGTTAAATTCAAAGCATGCACAAAGAATACATTCTCTTTTAACAAAATTAACTATGTGGTGGGCTCCAAATATAGTGAAATTTGTTATTATACATTTTTTATAGCTTTATTTCTAAATTATAATTAAAAACACTTTTAGAAATATAATTCAACTCAAGCACTTGGGAACTTTAATGATCTAAGAATAAGAAGCTGCACTGCAATTCCAAAGGCACACAATTTTAATCCAACAGGTGTTCTGCAGGAGGATGGGCAATCTCCTCCTATATGATTTACTGCCTCTGAAAACTAGCTGGAGCATCAGCTATCAGTTGGTCTTGACTCAATGGCACACAACAAGCACTTTTGAACCCTGAAGCATTTTAGGGTTCCACAGAAAGAAGGTTGAAGCCAGTGCATCATAGTTTACTGTCTTAAGAAAAAATTACTAATTTAAGATAAAAATTAGAAAGGGGAGTGGTGGGCAGGGAGGAAAGCGTTAAAGTTAATTAAAATTAATAAAAAAGGATAAAAATCAGGTAAAACACTGCCTTTTGCAATTAAAAAAAACACCACCAAACTAATTAGCTAGCCTAAAATACAGATACCAATCCATGCTCATATTCTAAGCAATTAAAAAAATCTGGTAAAAGACTATTTTTTACAATAAAAAGGAATCTATAAAAAACCCAATTAATAAAAAATAGTTATTAGTCAAAGCTCAGATTCAAAGTAATTCCACTTGATAGGCTGTGCCATGAATCTGCTAATATGTTACAATTATGATTTTTAAAAATGAGGTTCATAGAGTTCAATTTAATATTTCCCATTTGAATTTAGCGATATATCCTTATAAAACCATCTGAAAGGTATTTAAAATCTGTAATTATACAAGCAAATTGTGAAAGTGTAAATATTACAGAAAGATTTCTCTCTGGAACTACTAAAATACATAGTTGCGATTGTTGTTATATGCTATTGAGTAGGAACCAACTCATAACTGACCCTCTAACAGGTCTTCAGAAGCAGTAACTACAGAAAAGACTGCACATCTTTCAGTGGCTGGTGGATTCAAACTGTGTACCTTTGAGTTGTCAAGATAATTCTTCACCCACTAGAGTTCCTACTCAAATTATACTGGGAATTTTCAAATGTTATGTCTTCTAACTTAGAGTACACAGTTTCACTTACTTCAGCGGCATGAAATGCTCAATATTCCAAAGTACATTGTAATAAGTTCCCTTGTATTTACCAGAAGATGCATAGACTGATAGTTACTTCTCTAATGCAGTCTGACATACCACTTTGAAGTTAAAACGAGGGAATATATCTTTCTAGTTGTCACTGGAATATTTTCAATTAGATTGTATCACATTTCAACATTCATTAACCTGATAAAGGAAATAGAAGCACCTTGTCCTTTACTAGGGAGCTCTAGTTGTGTAGTAGTTAAGAAGCTGTGCTGCAATCCTAAAGACATGTGGTTCGAAACCACCAACTGCTCCAAGGGAGAGTGAAGGGCAATCTCCTTCCATGCAATTCACTGTCTTTGAAAACCCACTGGCGGGTCAAATATGAGTTGATTCTAACCCAATCGCAAACAATGACTTTCTTTACTAAAAATTTTACTGAATGACTCAGTGACAAACACAGCTTTTTAAGAGTAAAAAATTTAGGGATGCTTTTTTGTTTACTTATTTCTATGCATGGTTTACCTCTTGGCTCTTTTTGTTGATCTAAAAAGTTCCCACAGGAAGCTCTGATAGCTGAGTGGTAAGGAGCTGTGCGTCCAATTCAAAGGTATGGGGTTCAAATCTACCAGCTGCTCTGTGGGAGAAAGATAGGCAGTATTCTCCCATGTTATTTACGACCTCTGAAAACTGGCAGGAGAATCAGCTATGAGTTGGTTCTGACTCAATAGCACATAGCAAGGTTCCCAGAAGAGGCATATTCAGTATTTCAATAAGTGTATTTATTTTTTAAGACAATGAACCAAAATTATAAAGGCATTCTAAGCATAAATGTGATTCTCATTAAATTTAAAATGTACTTTTTAGATATGCAATTAAACCAAATTATTTCATTTGAAGGTAGGTCTAGCTCCTTTTGAAGTTCTCCCAAAATTCAACAAATTTTAACAAACATTTTAAGGGCTTAACGTTTTCCCCTCCCATTATTAAGGAGGGATCTAATAACAAACAGCACTTCCCTTTCAGTATGCATGACTTCCACTCTCCCTTTAGGAACTACTCTAAAGCAAAATTCAAAATTCTGTGACTCACTTGGTTATTACCGAACACTTAATTAAATGGAAAAAACCCAAGATAAATTCAGAAAATTACTTTTAGAGAATTACAGCTGAATTTTACTCAGAGTTAAATACTTTCTAGCAAAAATAAAAGTGTCTATTAAATTCTTACATGCTATTTTTAGGAGGATAAATTTAAAATGCCAGACCTTGATTTCTTTGAAGAGCACTTAAGGATGGCACTCTAAAAAAGCTATAAATGTTGCCAAGTCATGTCATAACCAGCTCAAAACAATCTTATTTCTATTTAATGTTACTTCATGCTACTGAATGAATCAGTATTAAGTAGCTTGGAGTATTGGCACAGGCCTGCACAATGATTATAGAATATGAAAATGATGAATGTCTATTTTCCATATACCATTTTTTAAAAAAGAAGAAATGATTAGACATGAGGATGTTCTTTCTCGACATGCAAAAATAGTTTTCTTAAAAGCTAAATGTAAGACACAAGGATGTCTCAATTGCTACAGAAATGTCAGGTATCCATAGCCAAAATCATAGAAGCATCACACACACATATACTTGATCCAGGTCCAATATAGTTCTCTTTCACCCCTTATTTAATTAAGGAAAGAAACAAGCAAAAACCTCGCTATAATTTTAGGCAGGTTAGAATTTAATGAAACATGTCCAAAAACCCTTGCCATGCTAAAGATTTATCATCACTTTTAAAGTTAAAATAACAATAACGATGACGATGATGATGATGATAGTAATAAGCTAAATTCAGATGCCATCTGGAGCAGCACTGAAAGGGTTAACCTGAGACTGCGCTGATGTGCACTTCTGATCCATTACATCTCCCACAAGCTGCACTACAATGAGCAGTGCAAGTATCAACTGTAATTTGATCCCAGAGTTTATGGGAAAAAAATAACTGCACATACTCAACATGCACATTTAATAAAAATCTGTTTGGGAAAAACATATCCAATAAACACAATGTACAGTATATTTAAATGTTCGATTAACTTCAAATCTGCAATCCCTTCGCTTTCTTTAAGCTCCTTAAAAAAGGGGGGGGGGCAAAAAAATAGGCACCAGCCCTACTGCAGGGAAAAGAGGCTTGAAAAACAACTTTGATTGGCACTTGGCCTGACCCACAAAGGAAGAAAAACAGTTTTTGGACAAAGAGCGCAAATATTTAAGCCTGCTTACTTACATGCATTCTTTTTTCACGTTCTTTCTTTTGTGAGACATAAAGGACAGTTCTACTGTAGACTGTAAATTGAGAAATTGCCTAAAAACGGGACAGGAGTCAGTCTTTCAATCTCGATGCATCTGCACACTCAGCAATTTTAATTCATTTGCAGTGGACAAACAGTAGCACCTCAACTCACATCTCTACTTAATCAAATGTAAAAATCGAGCATGGGGAACAACAAACTGATTAGAACAGTACTTGGTGGCGGCTGTTAGAAGTCCAATTAAAAGCTCTTCTCTGTTCAAAGCGACTTTTTTTTTTTTAAGCAAAGGCTCCTCCGCCCCCACCCTCAACTGATTAAGCCAAGTAAACTACACAATACTGAAGTAAACTTTCTATCAGTTACTTGGGAAGCAATACGTTGATTATGCGACAGTTTTTTATTTTTTCTGAACCAACCCTGGGGGAGGGGTTCTTAGGAGGGGTGCCCCCCACAACTCCTCGGCTCTCAAACCGCGACTAAGGAACTGGAAGGTCGACTAGAATTCCCCTTGGCCATAAAGTTCCAAGCTGTTTTGTCTATTCCTTTAATGGCTGGAATATAGACACCGGACGAACAGCCGAAAGATTTTAAAAGGGGGTCTGCGAGAAGGGCGCGCAAAGCAGAAGCCACCCGGGAAACAAAAACAACCCCTGTAATAGTTAGGAGCACAGCAGAGAAGGGGGGGCAGGTTCTCCAAGCCCAAACCGCGGAGGCTGCACACTAGCCTCCACTAGCCGCTCAATGCACAAGAAGCCGGGATCGAGCCTCCAGGCTGCACTGGCAGCGGCGCTCTACGCCCTCCGTCTGCTGGAGCAGAAGCCCCGGGGTGGATGTGGGGAGGAGAAACGAAAACCAGCACAAGACACCAAGGAGGAGGGAAAAACCCCAATCCCTTGAGACTCGGTCTGTCCCGGCGGAGCCGAGAAGCAGCCATGCAAATCTTCCGTCCCATCCCACGCCCCCTTCTTGGGTCACCGTGAAGGGACGGTGCCCTGGGATCCCCTGCAAGCCCGTCCCAAGTGTGCTCCCCAGGCCGAGCAGCCCGAGCCCCAGTGCGGGGAGCGTCCCGACGAGGCGGACCCCCGCCCGGCGAGCCCTACCTTCCGCAGCACTTTCCGGCAGTTGGTGCAGAGCAGGTAGTTGGTAGCAGCCGAGGGGCTGCTGCCGCTTCGGTTCATCGTGCCTGCGGGCGCCGAGGGCGGCGGCGGGCCGGGCCAGGCTGTCACTGCCGCCTCCCGTGCCGCTGCGGGGCCGGGCCGTCCCCGGTCGCCGGCCTCGCTTCAACCTCAGTCTCCTCCGGGCGAGATGTCGAGATGGCAAGAGAGCAAGCGGTGCAGCCCCCGGCGACCACCGCGGCGGCTGCTGAAGCGACGGCGGAGGCGGCGGCGGCTGCTCTCACCGGCCGGTGGTTTCACCCGCCCCCATCCTCCAGACCCCCGCCCCCGCCAGGCTCGGACGAGCAGCCGCCACCGCTGCCGCCGCCGTCGCCGCCGCCGCCGCAGCGCCTCAGTGCGGCCCCGCCCCCGTCTCCCCACCACCTTCACCACCTCCACACGGCGGGACCGCCCCCTTCAGCCAATCGGACAGCTCCGGCCACGCCCCCAGGGCGCTAACCCGCAGCCAATGAGCTCCCAGAGCCGGGTTGGAAGCCTCGCTGGCCAATCGCCGAGGCCCAGGCCGCCTTGAATCTCCGGGCAAGTTAAGTTTATCTCCGAGGCTCTGAACCTAAGGGAGTTGGCGGGTTAGTTAGGTAGCGAGGTGGGAGGGAATATAGGGTTTGCTGCTTCGCCAATAGGAGTTTGAGAGTGTCTTGTATGCAATTAACTGGGAAGTCCAGCCCCTCCTCTAAGGCCAGCCACGCCCCCTTCTGTTGGTGCCTGCAGAAATGGTGAGATGAGTGAGATAAGTAGCTAGGCGCTGAAGCAAGCTAGAGGGTCTAACACTGAGCTAAATAGTTTTGGATCTTTGAGAAAAGGAAGTTAAAACATTCTTATCATCAGGGCAAGTCTTTCTTTCATCCAAAATCAAAGCTTAGTTCTAAAGAAGATTGGGTTCTCACAGCACTTTGCATCCAGGGATCTCAAAGAACTTTATGCATCATTTACTGTGAGTCTTATTTTGCAAAAAAGAACAGTTACCTGGGGCTTAGGAGGAAGACAGGGTATATTAAAAGTGTATTTATGGAGGAGAGAGTGTATTTATATACTTAATCAGGTTAGGAAGAAAAGACACCAAAACTCTGCCTTAGGGGCTGCTTCCTTCTCTATATGAAGCCCCTTCCCACCACCCTCTCAACAATGAAAGTTCCTTTATTTTTCTAGCACGAAAGGACTAAAAGAGAGGTTTGTCGTTTCACTCAAAAGTCGTTTTTGAGATTGCTGGTCACATGCATGGAGAGCCCAGAGAAGGCTTGCACATTTTAAATTCACAGATTGCCATTTAAAGCTGTTGAGCTCGACCTGCTTCTCCTAAAGCTAAAAAGGCTTGACTCAGGGTTTTTGCATCCCCATTCTCTGGAGAGAAGGCAAATGTAATTGGGGAGTGCTCTAGGTGGCAGGGGATGGGGGTAGGGGAGCCGACCTTCCCAGGGCCGGAAATGCGCGTGCGGGTTGTTCTCAACACTGGGAGCCCGAAACCTGCTCCCCAGTGAGAACAAAGGCAGGCGCAGAGCAGGAACCTGATTGGCGCCGGGTTCTCACGCCTCCTGCGGGCCCCGCAGATAACTTGCAGCGCCCACTGGCTGGAACTAGCGCAGTGCTTTGCTGGAGCCCCAACTCCCCACACCCGGCTTGGTTTTAACCACTCTGTTCTGTGCGCTATGACATCACCTGTTTTCGCTGTTTAGAACTAAGACCAGTGTTCTCAGCCTCTCCCTCTTTTTTTAAAGGCCTCCTTCATATCCAGTATTTTTGTAAAGGCCTGCAGTTTGCAGAATGAAATCTGTGGAGATGGTGAGGATCGGGGACCGCGGAGTAGTTTAACCGACTTGCATTTTTCTTCCTTCCATTCTTTTTTAATTTAAAGAACTACGTTGGTTTCCTAAGGAACCCTAGTGGCACAGTAGCTAAGTGGTTGACTGCTAACTTAGAGATTGGCAGTTCGAACCCACTGGCCACTTCTCTGCCGGAGGAAGATATGGCCTTCCACCCCTGTGAAGATTTACATCCTTGGAAACTTTATGGGAGCAGTTCTACCCTATCTTTAACGTGAAAATTGACTAGAAGGCAACAAGCACCTAGATTTTCTTAGGGATTCAGTGTGGTGTTGAGATGTAAAATTAGAAAGACACTCTGGGCGGAGCTCGCAAGTTTAGCATATCAAAACTGTCAGACTGTGTGGTTAAAATGGCCAATCTCTTTTCTCAAAAGCTGCCTCCTTTGCAAGACCAACTAAGTCTCCAAAAGGAACAAAGGAAATGGAAATAAGTTAATGTCTGTTTTAAACAGGCTGGAAAACCCCACAGAGATCTAAGTTCTGTTTGGGTAAAAGTGTTGATGCCTTTTTAACTAGTGATACTTAAAGGCCTCTTATTATATGCCATATAACGTCTCTTAATGTTCAATTACAAGAACTCTAAAAGTAAAAAAAAAAAAAAAAAGGTCAGCGGTGGGAGATATTACTACATGCCCTTCAGATGTAGAGAACCAAGGGGAAAAAGTTAGCCATGCAGTCTTCCTAAGAACTGAAACATAGCTATGTGCTCACTCAATGGTACTGTTGATGGGCTACATTCTCAGCAGCTTCTATCTTGTTAAAGCTGGCTTTATATTTTAAAGAAAAGGGTGAGGGAATAAAAGAATTATGTAAATTTTGTGCTGAGTTTAACTTCTATTTGTTGTCATTATATTGGAAAACTACTTGCAACATTCCCTTTAATAGCTAAAATAATTTTCCCAGAAGGTTTTTCAGGTTCTTCAACATCTAAGTCCCCCTGAAAGGATACAGTGCAGTACATGCTGGCCCTCCACTGGGTTTCCAAATCCCATGGGAAGAGATTGCTATCTTTCTCCCTCAGAGCTGCTGGTAGTTCCCAACCACTGAGCTGCAGGCTTTAGGTTAATGCAACTCTTTATAGACTAGGCCGCTGAAGTTGCTTCCAAAGATTATCTAGCGCTACACAACTACACCCTATAAAAATTCCTAGAATGGGGTTTCAGAGGAATCATCTTCACTGAGACTTACCAAATTTGCGTTCTTCCCTTTAGGAGCTCTCATGGCCTAGTGGGTAAGGAATTCTGCTGCCAACTTAAAGGCTGGCAGTTCCAATCTACTAGCTGCTCCTTAGGAGACAGTTGGCCAATCTCTTTCCATGTGATTTACAGCCTCTGAAAATTCACTGGAGGGCCAGCAATGAGTCAATTCTGACTCGATGGCATACAACAAGAACGTACTGCACGGTGATGTTTCTTATATTGGAACATGTATATGTTTACATTCCACCCCTGGAATGTTCAATGCCAATATAACTTGTTCTAAAGACACAACTATCCCTCCTTCCGCTGTGCATTCTCTTCTTGTTGTTGTGTACCTTAGAGCTGGAACCAACACTTAGCTGACGTTCCAGTGGGTTTTCAGAGGCCGTTAATAACATGGGAGGAGACTGCCCATCCTTCTCCGGAGGAGCAGCTGGTGTCCTTAAACAGCATGCCTTTGAGATTGCAGCACAACTTCTTGCCACTAGGCCACCACATTCTCTTAGTGGTGTCTAATTTCTGGAAACTTCCTTTGTTCTTGTCTCCCCTTCTTCTGACTTCCCTTCTGTTCCTTGTCAGCTTTGAAACCATATGAAGAATGCAACTGGGACAAGAAATTATTTAAGAGGGATCATATTTTAGTTAAGGAACATGGAAGCAAAAAGAATTTTTATTTAGTACAAAAGGAAAATGATCTCCCTTTTATTGTCAGATATATTAAAAGAATTTTGAAAACTGTACTATGTGTGAAAATGATAAATAATACTGAAAATGACTAATTTTTTTTATAAAATTAGAATGATTATTAAAGATATCCATTGTCTA